GCTGTGGGTGTATATTAAACTATTTCATATGAAGATCAGGTTGAAGTGTTTAGATTTAAAGAATTCCTTTGTAAGATTAGTGTGTGAAAGGATGTGCTAGAAAATATCCTTTATTTACATATAAAATAAGACAACGATGTCCAGAAAAGGAAGGAAGAGGTAGAATGGACATACACACACACACACACAGACACACACACACACACACACACACACACACACACACACACACACATGAGAGAGAGAGAGAGAGAGAGAGAGAGAGAGAGAGAAAGAGAGAATATCACCAACTAAAGGGTCATAGGGTGTTTTTTGTTTTTTAATGAATAAAATCTACCTGTGAGAACAGATGCTTCAGAGTAGGTTACTGTTCTTGTTAGATTCCTCTGGGAAGTCAATTAAGTATTTTAAATAGTATATTCAATTATTTTAGATCTCTACAGATCATCTTCTGCAAAGATAATAATATCACACTGCTCTTGGCTCCTGAAAGAAGGACCCAAATCTTCCTCTGTGCCAGGAGTTGTGCTATACTCAAGCACTCTCTTCTGCTTAAGGAACTTGTAAGATAGCTAAGGTCACAACACACTACAAGGATAGCTGTATGTGCAAAATATAGCCTAGTATATAGGGATCATATAAAAAGCTAGCTAGTAAACTCTGTGTGGGAAATGGAATGAGGAGAGGGATTTTATCTATCGTCAGTTAGATATTCATTCATCGGCAAACATGTATTTCACATATTTAGACTTTCCATATGCCAAAAACTTCAAATAAAAGGAATACAATTTAAAGTCTAGTAGAATAATCCATTTCTATTATTAGAGTTGGATTTTGCACTTTATTCTAGTATCTTTTTCAATAATATTTTTATTTAATGTGTTTTGCCTGCATGTATGTCTGTATATCATGTATATTCAGTACCCATGGATCTCCTGGAACTAGATTTTCAGACAGTTGTTAGAAATCATGCCAGTGCTCTTAATGGTGGAGCCATCTCTCCAGTCCATCTGTTTGTTGTTGTTGTTGTTGTTGTTGTTGTTGGTGGTGGTGGTGGTGTGTGTGTGTGTGTGTGTGTGTGTGTGTGTGTGTGCATGAGGTGCCCATGGAGGCTGGAAAAGGGCACTGGATTCCTGGAAGCTGGAATTAGAAGCAGTAGTGAGATATCTACCTTGAGTGCTGCAAACAAAACTCTGGTCCTCTGAAAAAGCAGCAAATGCTTTTCACTGCTTAGCTACCTCTCCAGCCCCTGTGCTTGACTCTGGAATCATCTCTTTGATGACTCAAAATAAATATTTCCTTGGTGGTTGAAGGCAACTGTGTGTGTAGGTTTGGAGGTATATACCCACAAACCTATCTGCAGAGGCCAAAGAAGGACATACATGTCTTGCTCTATCATCTAGATGCTAGGGGTTCAAATTCAGGTCCTTCATGTTTTCTCCTATCCACTGATCCATCTCTCTGTCTCAGGGAGCAATTTTTAGATATAATTTTTAGGCTGGTTGTGGTGACACATACTTGTAATACTAGCATCCAGTAGTCCAGAACAGGAGGGTCATGAGTAAACAGCTGGTTGAATACTGAGATACAGACTCATTAAAAAAAGTATTCATAACATGATCAAACGTTACATCTGATAAACAACTAATCACAGATCAACCTTATTAGTTTCTTTTATTTTTTAAGACAAGAGCTCATGTATCTTAGGCTGGCCTCAAATTTTGTATATGGCCTTGTTAGTCAAGGATGACCTTAGACTTCTGATCCTCCTGATTATCTACCTTCTACAATGCTGGGATTACAGGTGTGTGCTACCATATCCAGTTTATGCATCCATAGGACTAAAACTAGGGTTCTGCCAGGTGTGGTGGCACACGTCTTTGATCCCAGAATTCAGGATGCAGAGACAAGTGGATCTCTGTGAGTTCGAGGCTGGCCTGGTCTACAAAGTAAGTTCCAGGACAGCTTGGGCTGTTATACAGAAAAATCCTGTCTTGAAAAAGCAAGAAACAACAATCACAAAAACAGGGTTTTATGCCTGCTCAGCGAGCACTTTAGCATCTGAGCTATACCACTAGTCCCTAGTTTTATTTTTCTGACTAAGATTATTTATTCAATTAATGTTTTCTTAATATAATAGTAAAAAATAGGTATCCATACCTTGTAAGAATATACCATAATGTTGGTATTTTTATCATTTCCCTTTTATAGGTGAGAACATTGAGCCTTGGAGCTGACTAGTAACTATAAGGTACTAGTCAGTGATCTAGGGGCAGGTAGTTTTTTTCTATGTATTCATGTTATCACATTGGGAAATGATGATCTGATAGTCACTATTAATATTTACAAAGACAACAGAAATTGAAAATTTTAAATCATCTTGTGTAGATATTCCTATCACAAAATCCACTTTTTGAGAAAAGTATAACAAGTTTACTCAAAGCTTTCCATTACATGCAAAGGAGCTTTCCTAGTCAAGACCAATGACAAAGGGGAAGGTACCTGTGGTGGTTTGAATGAGAATGCCCCCTCATAGGCTTATATATCTGAATACTTGGTTCCCAATTGGTAGGATTTTTTTTTTTTTTTTTAATTTTTGGAAGGAGTAGGACGTGTGGCCTTGTTGGAGAAAGTTTGTTACTAGGGGTAGGATTTGAGGTTTCAAAAGGTTCAGGTATTCTCAGTTAGCTTTCCCTCTGCCTCCTACTAGGGGATCAGCTATTCCTGATGCCACACCTTTGTTGTACAATTATGGACTCTAACTCACTGGAACTACAAGCCCATGTAAACTCTTTATTCTATAAGTTGCCTTGGTCATGACCTTATCACAGAAACAGAAAAGTAACTAAGACTCTATCTGAGGTTTGATGAAGCAGGAACAGCCATATAGAAAGGTGATTTCAAAAAGGTCATGAGTCAACCAGTTTTAGCATGTCCACTGTCCAGCATCCAGCAGGACGCCTATAAAATGAGGCGCTCAATTTCTTCCTCTCTTCCCTCCTTTTTTCTTCCTTCCTTTTTCTCTGCCACACATATATGATATAGTCTTCTGAAAATGTAAACAAAGAAGGACAATCATCTACAGTGGCTGCCCAGTCTCTAAGTAGCACTCAAACACTTCTGAGCACTGCTATCCACAGTTCTGCTGTGTATTCCCTTCTGAGAGTTTCACATGTCAACTACAATGCAAGTAATCATTCTATAGTGAATGACAAGTAGCCTGTAGTTCCTTCAGTGTACTCTTGCAGTTTTGGTATCCTCTAGTGCTCAGGAAGGAAAGAGGAAAACACATTAAGGCAGTAAGTGACTGTTGGACAAAGGATTGAAGGAAGAAACAATAAATAAAAAGCAGCTATGGCCCTGGAACTCTTAGGGTCTGCTAGAGGCCAAGGAGATAAAGTTTTATATAGATGCAACCTGGTATCTCTCTTTAGGAGTATCTGGTCTAGTTGGGGACTAAGAATGACCCTGTTTATGTAGTATATCTTACATGGTGTTATCTATGCAGGTGCAGGAATAGATCAGAGGAGGGCAGCACTTAGAATAGTCCCTCCACAGGAACAGGACAAGAAGCAAGAAATAAAGTATTCTGGTGACTTTGGAAAACTTGTATTGGGAAGACAAGGAGCCACCTTTATAAAGCTAAGGTGTGATGTGAGTTGTATTTGTTAAATAGACAGTTTATGAAACATGGAGAAACCAGACCCTGGAGTTTGGGACAGACTGACCAAAAAAACTCTTATGATTACTCACTGTCCACTACTTTTCCTTGGAAGTAGTGTATAAATATAAACACATCTCTCAAAGAGTTAACATTCTTTTTCCTCCTTCTCTGTCTCAGATGGGGTTTGAATCTAGAGTCCCATACTACATGCTAAGCAAGAGTTCTCCCACAGAGCTACATCTCCAGATCACTTTTTACTTTTTATTTTGAGACAGGGTATCTCAAAGTTATCCAGGTTGGTCTTAAACTCCTAATCCTCCTGACTCAGTCTCCTTAGCTGTGACCACCCACCTGAAACTCTGACTGGTACTACTTAACAAGTGTACTATCTAACCCAGCTAAATTCCTTAAGGCTTTTGAAATGCAAACTGTGGGCTTGCTTAAGCATTCCTCATTTATTCATTCCACAAAAGTTCATGCAGGATCTCCTAGTGTGAGAATTTTGTTAGGCACTATGGGGGTGGGGGTGGTATACAAAGAAAACTGAATTTGGTCCCAATCTCCCAAGACCTTATAGCTTAGTAATGGAAACAAATGTGCATACACAAGACCTTATAATAGGTGACAATGTGAGAGCAGGATTGGAGGGGATCAACTCTTAAGAGAGACTATAAAGGTAATGTAAAAAAACAAAACGAAGAGTTTTTTTTAAAACAAATTGGGTTTTGAATTAACTTTAAAGCGTTATGATAATAGTTAAGACCAAGACTGGAAGTCCAGGGTGGAGTAAGGAACAGAGGTTTGTTTGACTAGACAGTCAGGCTTCTTGGAGGGCAGTTTAGTGGGGGATTTAGCTGGGTATAACCCAGGCTAGGACTAGGCAGAAGGAACCTGAACCGAGATCTTATTTCTTCTCTTTATCCTTTGACTTAACCCTCATTATATTTCTTTTTAAAATTCACCTCTTTCCTAGAGTTCTAGTGGTTGGTGGTGGGGTGGGTTCAATGTGTAAGTTAAGGGTTTGCAAAGCGGCCCACTAGTGACTTAAATCCCATACTTTTGGAACCAGAAAAGGAAACACGCGAGAGGCTGTTTATGCCATGCCGAGTCCATTCAACACCACCATCCACCACCCTCAAGATACCAGCTGTTGCCCGGGCAAGCTGCAGGCCAGACCTGAGAGCGGGTAGCCAAAGCTGGCGGGAGCTCAGATCTCTGAACTGGCGGGCCAGGGTTGAGGAAGACAGGGAGGGAGGGAGGGAGGGAGGAAACGCGAGAGGGAGGGAGGAAGAAAGAGAGGGAGGCGTGTCATGTGATCCGCTTCCCTGCTCCTTTAAGCGTCCACTGGCTGCCGAGCGGCCGCAGTCTCAGCTCTGGGCATCTGGGGAGCCCGAGCAGCTTCGCCCAGGGATCCGCGCGGGCGCCTGCGGTCTGGGTCCCATCTGGACTGTGCTATCGCACCCTTGAAGTTTTGCAGCACCAGGAAAATAGGACAAGGAAGAAGGAGAGGGGAAGCGAAAGCATAACCTAAAACATTTATTTAAAGGAGAAAAGAAGTGGGGGGGGGCAGAAATGGCTGGGGCAATTATAGAAAACATGAGCACCAAGAAGCTCTGCATTGTTGGAGGAATTCTGCTGGTTTTTCAAATCGTTGCCTTTCTGGTGGGAGGCTTGATCGGTAAGTGTGAGAGCTGCAAACTTTCCCCTTTCCCTCTCTTCGGCCCTTCCCTCTTTTGCCTCTTGGGCTACTTGTTACAGTATCGCTGCCTTGCCTCTATGATCTAATTAGTCCGGCTATTGTGCTTAAGAAAGCAGAGCTCCATGGGGCTCCATGGGGCACAATCCAGTCTAGTGGCAAAGAGAAAAGGAGGGGAAAAGTTTTGGCCTAGTTTCAGTATCCACTTGAAAGGCAGGAGGGGGTGGGGGTGGATCTTAAGCATGGCGACGGATCGCGAGGAAGTGCTGGGTCGAAAAGTTGATTGCTCCCCCTGCTCTTTCCCCTCGCCCGCCCCCTTTCCCCTCGGTTCCCTTCCAATCAGCTCTGGGAGGGCAACGCAATCGACTTTATTAGGAATAACAGGAGAGTCGGTAGCTGAGCCCTGTGTCAGCCGCGAGCTGTTACTGGCTGTGGCTTGTGTAAATGCATTAGGTTGTCTCGGCGAGGGACTAGGGCAGGATCTAGGGTCTCAACCTTTAAGCCCTTAGCTTCCAAACCTCACTCCACCCACCTCTGGCGGTGGACTGAGCTGAGCTGAGGACTCAATGCGGGATGGAGTAGGGTGGTTGGGAGAGAACTAGCCCTCCCAACATGAACTTGGAGAGGGTGTAGCAGAAAGCCCGTTTGAAAGGTGTTTCTTTTGCCTGTTGTCCCCTCTGCCATCTCCCCTCCCCCTCTGCGTTGAGCCCCAAGATCCAGTGAGTCGGAAACCGGGGGTCCTCCCCTGGCGCCAGGAGGACGTTTCCTGCTCCCTCCTGGGCTGCCCTCAGGTGACAGCTCCCAAGCCCCAGCCACGGCGCCAGGGAGACTTTCCCAGTGCGCACTAACTCAACCTCTTGAGCCAGAAAGGCTTCCGACGTAGCCGACCTTGTGCCTCGGTATCCATTCGGAAAACTCAACTTCCTTACACTGTCCATTCCACCTCACGTCCCTTCCTCCTCAAGATTGCGGACAACCTTGCACAAACTTCAGTGCCAACTTCGGAGCGGGCGCGGCTGGGAGGTTTGGCTTCCTTGGGGGTGGCTGTTGCTCTTAGCTGGGTGGAAGAGCGCTGGAGCCGGGGAGGGAGGGGGTGTCTGTGCTCCTCATGGGAGCCCTTAGGCCACGCAGGAGCTCTCTAGACCCGCCGAGAGTCATGGGCGCGGTGTTTTGCCTCTAGACTTGGGTGTGTTAGGTTCGCATTCCAGAGAGTCTGGTACTGCCAATCTTTGTAACATTGAAGCTGAGTGTTTTAAACAAAGGAGAGTGGGAGAAGCTTCAAGAAGAGAGTTCTTAGAGGGGATCCAGTACATGTTAAAACCAGAGTTTTCTAAGCCTCTGTCCTTCGTGTGGGCTAAACAGCTTCATCACCGGGCGCGCGCGCGCGTGCACACACACACACATGTGCGCGCGCTCACACACACACATACTGCTAAACAGCTTTATCACTGCGCGCGCGCACGCGCACACACACACACACACACGCACACACACACACTCTTCTAAACAGCTTTATCACTGCACACACACACATACTGCTAAACAGCAAACAGCTTTATCACTGCACACACAACACACACACACACACACACACACACACACACACACACATACACACATACGCTTTGGCTTTTGTTTTGCTACGCCATGTAGAATCTCTTTTTCTCTGTATTGGATTTTCCAGACTCTTAATACTTATCTGCTGGGAGCTGTAGGCAGCAGCAGTCTCGACAGGCTCACAGTGATTATACCGCGGTTGCAATTACACCTCTTGTTTCCCTTGATGAGCAGTTGCAGTTAGATGCTATTGGATCTTGTGTGATTTCAGTGGCAGACCATAATAAAATTTCTTGCACCTTGTGCTTTCAGAATTAAATTGGCCTATTATCCTTGTCTGACCTTCCCTTTGAGGTTTTTGCACATAGTAAGCCATTACAGTTTCCTGTCGCTGCAGGCCCCCTCCCCCTTCACTCCCCCGCGAAGCTGATGTGGGCCCACAGAGCTCTTGGTTCCCGTTGTAGGTTTCCTAGAGCACTTCTGGAACTAGTATATTTCCTGAAACCTCACTATTGTACAGAGGAGATCCAAGGGCTCCTGTAAGTGTCTGCTGGACATCAGAATGACCAGAGTTAGAGAACTTGTTTGTTCAAATTAGGATTTGTCGGGAATAAGTAGCACTAAGGTTGTTCTCCCCGCCCGCCCCCCTCCCCAGGAGACGCCCCCCCCCCTTAATTACTGAAGCTGCAGGCCTTGCCTAACAGATTTTTCCTAAATTAACAAACTACTTTAGTTCTAACGTTCCTTGGAAAAGAAACATCTCTATAACATTTCTTGGAGGAAGTTTTTACACAGCCTTATTGTTTCACTTTCCTTCTCTCCCTGCTGCAGTGATTGTCCACAGTTCTGGTCCTGAGACTGAACAGATTAGATGTAGCCCAAACTGAGTAGTGTTTTAGTTTTTACCTCTTCCACTTGGAGAGTAACATTTTTGCTCCTAAATAAATTTAGGTAACCTAGGCTCTCTAGACCAAAATACAGGAAATGAATATTAGCAAGAGGTGCATGCTATGTGGAAACACTCAGCTTCTCTAATTGAAAGTATATGAAACTTTCAGAGTGGACTAGTAGAATCAGTACTTGAAAGAACGTTTTTAGGCTAGGAAGACAAGGACAAGATTAGAAACCTCTGCTCCCACTCAATGCTTCTGCAACTTACTAGGCCTGGTATACTGATCATAGAGTAGTTTTCCTAAGGTAGCTAGTTATTCCTTTTGAACTGTGTTACTTTTGGATCCTTGTTTTCCCTCAAGAGAGAAAACATGACATCTCAGGGAACGAGAATCTTATGGGAAAGCTCCTCGGTGCTAACACAGGACACACACAAAATTACGAATCCCCTAAGCAGCCATAACAATTCATGAATTTCAAAGTGACCAGGCTAGTCACTTAACTAATAGGCTTTTCTCCTTACTGGTAGATATATGAATTTAAGATCCTTTTCATCTTTAATTGTATAACTTTTAGTATTCAGAGTTTTATATATGACATTGGACTAATATTCAATTGTAACCTCATAAAATCAAGGGGAAAATTTTAAAAGTAGCTATAAAAACAAATAGAAGGAATTGAGTTTTGATTTAGTTCAAATCCCCTGTATCCTAAAAATCTTCTTACCTAGCTTGTTTACTTGCTTTCTGGCTGGCTTTGTGTGTTTTTCTTGTGCCAGTGTGTATACATTGTTGAACTTTTGATGGAATTTTACAAACTGAGTCTGTAAGGAATATCTTACATGGTAGAAACTGGTAGGTTTATAAATTTAGTGATTTATGTTTTTGTTAAATCTTTGAGACACTATAAAATTAGGTATCTGTTATTTTATACATTCAGACAATTTACTAAGTGACTAGCTTTTTTAAGGTTTAGACTTTATTTAATATTTAAGAATCCTAAAAGGAAAATAAAATATTTTGAAAGGTATAGCTTAATTTTACCATCCTGAAAACCAAGCCTGAAAAATATTAAAATAATTTTTCTTTGGTTCATGGAGAAGCAGCTGTAGGGGTAGTGGAAGAGGTGGGGAAGGAGACTGTGTGTCATGAAACAAGAGCACAGCCCACTAAAAATCATGAACTTGAGTGTCTGGCTCATCATGTGTAGTTTGTTCAGCTTCAGATGAACCATTTCTGGGGATATGATGTTTGAAGAATCAAGTCACTGTTTCACCTATTCTAAAATCATGAAGTGAGCAGAGATTACAACTGAACAGAATGGATTATGGTTAAATTGTTTTAAGCAAATCCACAAATAAGAATTTCACATTAAAATTTCAAGTAAAAGTAAACAAATCACCAGTTATAATTTCTTTCGGAAGAAGAATTGCTTTTGTCAAAAGTCATGTGCGTACCTCCCTTTTTTTTTTTTTTTTTTTTTTTTTTTTTGGTTTTTCGAGACAGGGTTTCTCTGTGTAGCTTTGCATCTTTCCTGGAACTCACTCTGTAGCCCAGGCTGGCCTCGAATTCACAGAGATCCGCCTGGCTCTGCCTCCGGAGTGCTGGGATTAAAGGCGCGTGTGCCACCACCGCCCGGCGCGTACCTCCCTTTTTAATGCTGAAGATCTAATGTATGTAAGACACACAGACATATACATTTAACACATTTTCTCAAACAGGGCTGTCAAAGATGCAGAACTCTCTCTATCATGCCGTTATTAAGTGGAAACTGTTGATGGTCTTGGTTGTTATTCATTCATATGACAATTTGTCTGCTGCTATTATTCATTTGAAAGTTGCAGAAATTTGATAAATTGAATGAAACAAAGCACATTAGATTTTAATTTTGCTGTATATGTTGCATTTTAGTTTGTATTAATATTGTACTCATTGTAATCCTGAAGTAGTCAAGTATCTGGTGAGAATCTTTGGTTTGCTTCTTTTGAGAGAGTCTCTTGTACCCCAGGCTGGTTTTGAACTCGTGGACTGAGGGTGTTCTCCAACTTCTGATCCTCCTTCTTCTATGTCCCAAATTCTGGCATTACAGGTATGGCTCACCACACTAGGCTGTATCTTCTGAGAATCTTGAAAAGTACTAATGCTTTTTGGCTGATACTGGTCATATTTTTCTATGTTTTATTACGCCTTTTATTTTGTAAAATTATATACCTGATCAAACTATACTTTTTCATTCTTTTTGTTAGCTCCTAGAGGAATCATACTACTGTGATTTATGTAAGGCCTGTGTAACCTCATAAATTCACTTAGGGTAATCTTTTTTTTCATTATTAAAATAACATTACTTAATGTTTAGCAAGCTAAACCTCTTGTTTATTACAATGAGACAATGCTTATGCTAATGGTCTCTAATTGCTCTCTGATTGGTTCAATACCTCTCATCTAGCCTTCTAGTGCAACTTTTCTTTCCCTAATAAAGTGAGAAATAGTTCCTTGAGGTAATTATGAATAGTTTTGTGAGGTTTACAAATCATC